ACACACACACACACACACACACACACACACACACACACACACACACACCTCTGTTTGCGCGGAAGTAATCATAATAATTTTACCACGATTTCAGCCTCAAATAATGCACTAGAAAAGTTTAAGTCAAAGTTACTCGTTTTTAAGTAAAATTTGGAAATTAATTTGCCCAAATCACTACGTATTTAGGCAAAAACCTGCTTCTAAAAGGGATCACTGCCCGCAGACCTGCGGATGTTTGCAACGCGTAAGTCTTTTCTCGCATCAGTGCCATTCAAAATTCAGAAAAGTTGCTTACGCTTGACGCCCGGGAAATCGCATCTCACACGGTTGCTATACGGCTGCTGTTAACGGGCTGCTATCTGCCGCTCGCTGCTCGTCGGACACGCCCACGCACCCGTGCATTATTCCCATGGCACTTGAATGGCATCGCGTCCGGTCAGCGTGTCCAATTTAAAAATCGGATATTCTTCCACATTGTCCACACCTCTCTCCGTATCCATAGAGAATCCGCCGCCGCCGCCACCACCACCACCGCTGCCCTGCAGTAGAAGCAGCAGCAACAGCAGCCGCCGCAGCAGCAGTAGTAGCAGCAGAAGCAGCAGTAGCAGTAACAGCAGCAGCAGCAGTAGTAGTAGTAGCAGCAGCAGCAGCAGTAGTAGTAATAGTAGTAGTAGTAGCAGCAGCAGAAGCAGAAGTAGCAGCAGCAGCAGCAGTAACGGCAGCACCACTAGTAGTAGTAGCAGCAGCACCACTAGTAGTAGTAGCAGCAGCAGCACCACCACCACCACCAGCAGCAGCAGCAGCAGCAGCAGTAGTAGCAGCAGCAGCAGCAGCAGTAGTAGCAGCAGCAGCAGCATCAACAACAACATCATCATCATCAGCAGCAGCACGCAGCACGCTCGCTCGCTCCCTCACGTGTTGCGACGCATTTCATGCGATAATTGCTCTCATTCATCGCTCGTCCATCGCCGCAATGCGAGCCATTTACGTGTCGTTCGCAAGCGCGTCGCCGTCGCCGCCCTCGTCCCCCTAATCATTTGATGTATTCCCGTAAGTTCGCCGGTGCACGCACGCGCACGCACGCGCACGCACGCGGGGGAGCTCTGCCCGCACGGACGCGTGAGCTATGCTTGCGCTGCTGCTGCTGCCCATT